AACTCCGAAAATTGAGTGGTTTGTGTTAACCGTTTTAGAATAAATATAACATTCTTAAAGTAAATTGGTTAGACATATCCACTCTAAGTGAGGTTTGAATAGTCTCATTTTCATAGCAGAAAATATGAAAGCATCCACAAGCACATGTGAGTTCTTCTTCATTTCTGTTGTGCATAAGTTTCTCAATTTAGTTAGAAACACACAAGACAATCCCATGGCTATGACTAATTCCACATTTTTTCTTAATTTAGGTGTGTTTCAATTCTTGGACTTCTGAAAAAGAGATTGTGTAGTTCCATTTTAAAGTTTTTTTTATGGATTTAAATTGAGGAATGCACTTTTAGGTACTTCTTTTTGATTTTCTTGTGATTCATTTTTACCCACTTCAAAAATTGTACTTTAAGTTTCGTTTTAAAGTTGCTTTTATTAAATATTTTAATTAGTTCTATAATTTTGTCAAATAAAGATACCATATGAGTCAAAAGAATATAAGGAACAAAAGTATAAATATGTATTTGATAAGAGATGTTTAAGTTAATGCAGACTGATAAGGTGTTCCCCCGACTCTTATATCACTTTCAGCGAAATATCACATGGACAAAAAAGAAATATCCATACTAAGTGGCTATAAATAAGATTGTATATACACAGTCTCAATGTTTATGCAGATACATTAAAAGAACACATGCGCAACTTATATAATTAAATAAAAAGAAAGCCTTTTTAATGATAAATTGCATTCTCATTACTCAAGTAAATCGCTCTGAAGCAACCTTACAACACAATCTGGTGTATGCTCGTAACGAATAGGGTCACTCCCGAAAAAATGGAAATCCTGTACAACAACAAAATTTTGGTCTTTTTTCCAAGTTCCAACACAAGTAAATTGTGTTAAAATAGAATTTACTCATGACTGGATGAGTATTTATTTGGAATCATAAATACTACCAATTATTGAAATTCTCCTCTAATCATGTACATGTTTATGAATTTTAAATTAAAATTCATTTAAATCTAGGGCGAAAGACTACACTAGTATCATTATAATTTATGAACCTCAAGTTACCTAATACTACGTAATATATTTATACCAACTTATTAAATCTTAAGAGTTAAATACATTTATTATCAATCCTATTAGTCATTTACTTTAAGTGCAAAAAATAAACAAATAACAACAACACAACAATTCAACAAACATGAAATCAATTTCAGCAATTCTCAATTAAACAAATCAGAACATATGAAAATCGTATCATCATACATGTGTTGAGTCAGAGTTGCTTACTGAGTATACAACAATACTGCGCAGTTGCGGTGGTGGATCCACTGGAGCAGTGGACTGACTGTGTGGAGTCTGGACTCGTGGAGCCGTCAAGGCGGGGCACAATGGGTTAGCGGAGTCATGGAGCTGGGTACGGTGGTCGTCGATGGGTCTAGCGAGTCGTCGCTGGCCTACTGGCCTTCATCGGTCATCGTTCGTCACTTCGTCCTCTGGCTTCGTGACCTTCGTCATTTCAGAGCTCCGGGTTTCCAAGTAGTCGAGCAGATAGAGAGAAGGTTTCAACTTGAACGAGTTAGGACGGTAGGATTGGGCTAGAGTATTACTACTAGTTTTTTTTGTCTTTTTGGGCCCTCCAAAATTGTGGGCCCTGTGTGGTTGGGCTGGGTAGACTTGCCCTGAGCCGGCTCTGATAACGAATACTATGACTTGAACTAGAAATGCATACCCTAGCTAACACATGGACCACACGATTCACATATCGATTACAGAACAAGACATTAAAATTACTACGCCTTTTATGAAGCTCACTAATATCATCAAGCACAATATCAAGATAAGAAGAGGCACTTAACTTTTGAATGCACTGAACAACTGCCAAAACATCTGATTTGATTTAAAAAAGAAACAACTTATAAACTCATGAAAAGTAATATATCATAGTGAATGCTTTTCCTGTTAGTTCTTCTTTAGCAAATATACAATGCAATGAATGCATATCAAAATTTACCTCTCTAATTAACAATTTGATTCTCTGTTTAACATGTCTACTTTTGAAAGTCATTTTGATCTCATAATGTGCACTCAACTGAAACTAACCTTCACAATCAGAACGGCTACATATTAGCATTGATATGTAGAGCACGAGTAGACCTGAGAAATGACTATAATTCTTATATTTTCTAACTTTCAAAGCTACTATGGTTTGCACAATTGAGAAGTTTTCAATTAATTTCATGTATGAGGTATTTGAAGATTTATTTCTTTGTTCTCGTGACTGTTTTTAAGCTGAAAAGTATTCAAATTAAACAATGATTACCAAGAAGAAACAATGAATAAGAAAAAGAGGAGGAGGAGTGGAGGGAGTGAGGAAGCACCACACTAACAAATCCTATCGTTATAGTGATCAGGCAATAAAACCACTCAATCTTAAATGATGAGACACATGATAAAGTCGTTTGAAGTCTTGTGCATTTTAACAACATAGAATGATACCATTAATGTGATATGACAAATATGTACATATTGCAGGAAGATTGAAAATATAAGAAATATATACTTGTCATGATCAAGAAAATTGGAGACCTCCCACACGGAATGGCAAACCTTCCAGTCTTACCAGGTTTCTGAATAATGCCAAACCCTTCCATGCCACATGAAATATGTTTTGTAAAATTCTTATTTCCTTAACATTACATTGTATTTGTATCGTTTGTTTTATACTACATAGACGAAGATTTCTTTTATGTACATTTTGTTTGTTCATCACATTTGATTGTGAGAGGTGGTAGGATGTGTAGTAAGATAGAGAGCTATTGACATTAATTTTTTCTTTACTTTGCAAATCTTCAATAATGTTTGGTGCCTGTAAACGAACAAGTTCAAGTGAAAAATTATAGTGTCAAGTTCAAAACACAAAATTAAATAGTGCAAAAATGATCATTAAATGAAATTATGATGCGTAAAGAGTTTGAACCTTGAACAAAAAGTGTTATTGATCCATCAAAGAAAGAACCTAACACATTACTCAGGATATGGTCCTGTTTTGTGCCGGTAAACAAGAGACGTTTCAATCTCAAACTAAAAACTAATGTACAAGTGTAAAATAATAATTTATGTGTTAGACCAATCTAGGCATCAACCCATAATAAAATAGACACTCATTCACACAAACTCAAACTCTTCAAAAAGGACATATTTATGTTAATTAAAAATCTCCTCAAGCCTGTAGTAGCGTATTCTCATGGAGTCGATTTATACCGGAGTCCTATGTGACTCTCATATGAAGTTATATAACTCATTTTGTCCCATCAAACATCATTCATTTTAATGGATGATAGCACTATAAAATTAGTGGTGACAAACTGATAATGAGTACATTCAAAAGTGTTATACGCTTATACATGGATTGATGGAAAGCATATATTGCAACATAATCAAAAGTTCTCAAAGTTAAAAAAACATGTCAACACAAATCTCCCTCACCTATAAAAAGGGGAAGAAGACACGGACATGGACATAGATTGGATTCTGGTTGAATTATAAATGTGTTGACATGTTAAAAATGTGAAGAAGACACGGACATGTCAACTCATTGAAAACTCATCATTGAATAATATGCCCTATTTCATTACTCTAGAAAATATTTCCACTGATTATTTTATTAAAATAAAAACAAAATAAAGTCAAGTATATATTCCATATTTCCCAAATCTAAATCTGATTGGAAATACAAAAAAAAACATATAGAACACCTATGTCTAATTAAACAAAATCATAAAAAAATTGAACTTCTAAATAAACATGGAATTATTGGGAAGATCTAACATCCTACAACGAAAGTAGAACTTACATATTGTAATTGCACACAACATTGTTACACAAGAGCAACTCTCAAACAGATACGAGAAAACGTCTACATGCTACCATACTTATACCTTTGATATGTTTGGAGTGTTTGTAACATCCCGCCCCATAGGACCTGAGCTAGTTACTCCAGACCTCTAGTACTGTTCTCACAAACCACCACGAGCCTTTACTGCACACTTTGTCCTCCATGCAAGCAAGCTTAACTTTGGAGTTCTCAGTTGATGAACTTCCTTAAAAGGATATGCACCTCTGTTGGTATGAGTAGCACTATTAATTCCTTTAAATTAATCTCAAATGTTAGAGTTAAAAAGGTAAAAGAGAATAAAGAGAGTTCTGCATTTGTTTTGGGGTTAAAGAGTCTCCCTATTTTTGTAAATTTTGGGGTTTTAGAGTGTGCTTGGATATATATTTTAAAATTGCTTCTTTAGCTAATGTGATTTATTTTTCCCAAAAGAATCTAAAGGGATGTATAACATAGTTGATAGAATTGGAAGTAAACAAAACTCATTAAAGTTCTTTGTTCATAACTTTTCAATATCATTCATATTTTTTAATATATTAGTAAAAACATGTCTTTTATAAAACATACTACCCCCGTCCCAAAAAATACTTCCCGGTTTGACTTGACATGCTTATTAAGAAAGTGGAAATGTGTGGTTGTAGTTGTGTAAGAAAAAAGGTAAAATGAATGTGAGCCACACAAATTGTCCAAAAAGAGAAAGTGAGAAATATTTTTTAGAACGACCCAAAAAGGAAAATGAGAAGTATTTTTTGGAAGAGAATGAGTACTATTTTGAACTTTCTCAAATAAAATAAGTTTATATTACCTCCTATCCCAAATAAAGTTCACAATTTTCCCAAAATAAAGTTGACACTTTTATTTCTGTCAAAATTTATAATATAATGTTACTTAACCTCCTACTTTACACCAACTTTCTCTCGGTTAAACAAATTATTAAAAGCATTGTGTGAAAGTACGTATAAAATGCAATTTTTCTTAATAATTTATTTAACTCACTTCATAATTAAATTTTTAACAGAAACTTTACATACATAATTTACATTTGATCAAGTAACCTGATGGGAACATTTCCTTGTCTTTAATGAGATTTTACCATAATATACTATGGTAAAATGCATAGGTAATTGACCCCTTGCCCCCTTTTGAATCCGCCACTGCGGCACAAGAGGTTTGCAGCTATGGCTTCCTCTTCTTGTCCAACAGCGATAGGATCAAGCGGCACCCCCCTGAACCCCTCAAACATCAGGAACTCCACTCCTAATTTTTGCACTTCACTCCCACTTATCCCCACCTCTTTCCAGCAAACCATTCTCAGAACCGACACACCTATCTCTTCCATTCACCGTTCAACCCCCAACTTCTCCCCGGCAACATTCTCGCAGTCCGAACCCGAAACAGAAGAACTGGATTCCGGAAGCAGGCCGACGCCATATTCTGCTGCGCCGATGGGGATTCTCCCCCCTGTGAGGCGGCAAAGAAGGGCGTACAGAAAGCAATACCCTGGTGAGAAGAAGGGCATTGCGGAAGAGATGAGGTTCGTTGCGATGAGACTCCGCAACAATGGCAGTCCAAAAAGTAAGCGGAGAGCTATGAGTGAGATAGATACGGAGGATTGTGACGAAGAAGAAGAAGAAGTCATGGAGGCCAATGATAGCAGTGGAAATGGGGAGTATTGGCAGCCTTCCATGGAAGGATTCCTAAGGTACCTTGTGGATAGCAGGCTTGTTTTCAACATAATCGAACGCACCGTTGATGAATCCAGTGATGTTTCTTGTATGTTGTCTTCTCCTCTTGTTAGTTGTTACATTGTTTTTCCTCATTAGTTGTTTCATACATTAATCTGTTCCGGTCACTGAAAAGAGAATCTGAATAGCCATGAAATCTTAAAATTGGATTTGAAATGTTTGAAGAGGTGTTCAGGATTGCTGGAAACATCAGGTTATTCCAGAAATGAGATCAATTATTTGATTATATTCAGAATCACATTTTAAAGTAAACTTTGCTGAAAAGTGGTTTTGAAATAATTAAATTTGTTTGGATGCACAAAATTACTGAGTAGTTTTTCAGTTAAAATAGTATGCGAACGACTGGAATTAGAAATCATGCTGCCTGCTGCTCAAAACAAATGTCCAACTTTTTAGAATCAGCTGAAAATTTCAGTCAAGAAGTTCTCTAAAAATCAAAATCTACTCAAACATGATTAATTTTAAAAACAAAAGTAAGTCTAATTCAAAGCAGAAACTGTAGGTCCTCAAACAACCTCCAATTTAACTGGTAGCTAACGACAAATGAATTTGATATGAGATGCTGATGTTATTGTGTGTGTTGAAATAGATGCTTACTTCAGAAATACTGGATTGGAAAGAGCAGATTTTATATCGAAAGATCTAGCATGGCTTAGCGAACAAGGAAATGATATCCCAGAACCTAGCAATCCTGGTGTTGCTTACTCCAATTATCTTGAAGAACTTGGAGAGAAAAACCCCCCTTTGTTTCTCTGCCATTTCTACAACATATACTTCTCCCATATTGCCGGAGGTCAAGTTATAGCTAAAAAGGTTCAATGCTTCTGCTTCTCTAGTCTGATTATTTTATTTCACTTGCAAGATTCCCAAGCACAAAGATACTTTGTTTATTAATAAAAAAAGCATAACATGTTTGGTGGATCATATGATGCAGTCCCAACTTGTCATTTTGAGCTAGTTTGGTGGAGTAAAATTTGGTTAAAATGTTCTGAATTTGCTGAATGTGTGACCAAAATGGTTTAATTATGTGGATCATCTTGAACTTTATTAAAATTTACTGCCTCTATCCCAAAGTGAAGTTCCATTTTGGTTTGTGGTGTTTAACTGATGATAAAGTTAACTCATCCACTACAATTTTTTTAATTACTATCAATCATTAAAATGTACAAATTTACGGGTAAAATGTACATGTTGACTCATCCAAAATTTAGAATACAAAAACTCCGGGGCATACCCCCGACCAAAAACAAATCAAAAGCAGGCTTATGCAAGACTATGCTAAACCTGCTAAAATAACCGAGAGGCGGAAGAGACAGGCCCCCTACGACCCAGCAGTACACACAACAATAACAAAATATCCAAAACACCAACAAACAAGCCAAACAATTGGCCAAACAAATAAACAAGTCAATAATCCACATCAGCAGTAGGATACAAGTTGAACAAAATCCTATAAACAGCCACTTTAATTTTCCCAATGGCAGCCTGGATTGGAGTTCTGACCTGGTCGAAGTAGCAGGTGTTCTGGATCCTCCAAATAGTGTAGACAGCGCAGCAAAAAGCAATTGAAATAGCTTTGTTTCACACCCTGGCTCCACCATGTTCTTTTTTAATCCACTTGATAGCACTTGAAATAGTTGACATCTCCCTTTTAATCCCAAGCCATTTCCGAAATTCCATCCAAATTCCTGAAGAAAGCAGACAACAGAAAAAAAGATGGGAAGCTGATTCCGGTTCCAACCGACAGAGGGTACATATATTCACCACATTCAAATAACTCAAATTGTCCAAAGTGGCGAGCCTATCCCGAAAGGCCAACCAAGTTATGAACGAAAATTTCGGTGGGATGAACTGCTTCCAAATAAGTGTCATCCATGGTCTTTTAGAACCTCTAGCTCTTAGAACATCATAGACCATGGAAGAGGACAATTTACCGTTGAGGCAGAACCTCTGTAGTCCAGCAATGGCTGCATCATGCCCCTGGAAGTGAGTCAGGAGACGATCTTTAATGGCAGAGAGTTTTTTCATAAGCTGGGAGTCTCTACCGTGTGCATTTACCTCCCAGATGCATCGTCCTTTAAGATAGATGGCATGAATCCATCGCACCCATAAAGAATCTGTTTTCCGGTGTATGTCCCAAAGAGTTTTGGCAAGTAATGCCAAGTTCCAGACCCGGCAGTCCTGTAGTCCAAGTCCATCTCCAGAAATCGGTAAACGAATATCCGGCCAAGCCACCTTAGCCGTCCCCCCCCCCCCCCCCCCCCCCCCAAGGAAAATTCTGCACAAGGCGATAACCTTGTGCAGAATGAAGTGCAAAATCTGAATTGGAATCAGAAGCAGTTTTAAGAATCAGGTACAAACACCCCCTAAATCACTAGCTCCTTCAGCTTGTCTGCTATGCTATTTAACTATTCATAAAAATGTACAATTTTAGAAACTAGACGTTGTAATGAAGTGCAAAATCTGAATTGGAATATGATAAAAATCTTATTAGGAGTATAGAGAACCAAAGGCTAAGAGAGAGTTAAGTTGGCTGAGGAATAATGGGAGAGAACTTCATTCTAGGATGCAGCAAATATTGTGCAAAAGGGATTTAACTATTTAAGGTAATATTCTGCAAAAGATTTCTCCTTAAAAAGACATTTGGATGAATAGTCAATGAATGACTCATATTAGTTATCAACGGAGTATGAGTTATTATTCTGTGGAGATATCATATTAAGATTTGACAGTCATTCCAAAAGTTTAACTTGCCATAAGCAGTAGTCTAAAATCTTATACTCTCTACAAGTTTCCAATTAGCCGATGTGAGATCGTTTGTTTGACCAAAAGTTCTCTTTTTCAGGGAAATAAGTATTAAGGAGGTGTTTGGAACTGATTCTGCTTTTGCTTCTTTTTCAAGGCAGAATCAGAATCAGTTTTCAGAAGCTGGTCTCCCCCAGTTTTTAGAAAAACTGCTTCTAGAAGTAAATTAGAGCACCAGAAATACTTCTGCACTTTCACCCAAACACTCTAACTTCTGCTCGTTGAAGGAGCATAAGCAGTTTTAAGAATCAGATCCAAACACCCCCTAAATCACTAGCTCCTTCAGCTTTTCTGCTATGCTATTTAACTATTCATAAAGATGTACTCTGTATTATGTAATTGATGATTGATAGGCGCTTGTTATGTAATTTTGCATTAATAATTATGAGAATATAAAAGTGCAAATTTTATATTGTTTGGAAGATCAGGTTTGTGAGAAGTTGATAAGAGGAGGAGAAGGAAGGGCATTAGAAATGTACAGATGGAACGGAAATGAAGAAAAATTACTGCAAGGAGTGAGGGAGAAGCTCAACATGCTGAGTCAACATTGGCCTAGAAACAATAAGAACAGATGTTTGCATGATATGCGCAAGTCTTTCCGTTTTCTGGACAAGATTGTCCGGTTAATCGTCTTGTAAACATCTTGGAGCCGAGCCTGGGTTCTTGTCCCTTGTTCATATAATATAATTACACAACATTATTATCATTATTTTTAAAAATGATATTTGTACCCACTCTTATATCCACTTTTATATCCATCACGTATGTAAAAGGTTTTTTTTTTTTGTGTAAATGGTTGTTTACAAGCAAAAAAAGTCTTCATAGAAGGAGTATAAGAGTGGATATAAGAGTGGGTACAACAAGAATGGTTGTTCTTAAAATTGTCCTTTTTAGTACCCACCCTTATATCCACCTTTATATCCACCGTGTCTGTGAAAGGTTTTTTTTGTCTGTGAATCCGTTCACAAACAAAATACATGTTTTATTTTGTCTAGTGGGTGAAACCCTAAAATGCACTAAAATAAGACATGTGGCGTTAGAGGACATTGATGTGACACAGATGAGGTGCCTAGTACCCCTTGTCCTCATCGCAGACGGAGGAATCGTACTGATATCTTCAATGTCCTCGAACGGGATTCACAAAAAAATAAAGCCTTTTGCGACATGGTGAGTATAAGGATAGGTACAAATATCTTTTTTATTGTACAACTCATTACACCTCCCCATAATATATAGTTTTGTCACTTTTGTGATTTGACATGATACCTCTATTGAGCATCCTTAACCCGCAAATTATACCGTGGGATTGGCCCACCTTGAGCGGTGTGCCGATCCCAAAACGGCATCACTTTATCAATTAAATACAAAGACAACCTCTCGCTGTCTTGCAAAAATTAAATATAACGATCGATCTTCCGCCGCAGCAGTAAGGAGCCACCATCGTTTTTACATAAGCTCTTCAATCCGCCACAACAGTAGGGAACGTAACCCTTGATGTTGATCGATGAATTACACATCATAAACTTCTAACTTTCTGCTTAACCCTTCATGTTGATCGATAAAATATGGAATCATGGAATTACCAATTACGCATAACCCTTGAAAGCAGATTCATTTGCTTTCATTTAACATCTAAGCTGCTTACAAAAAAAACCTTGTCATTCCCCTTAGGACTTAGGAGTCCTCCTGTATTCCGAACGGAAGGAGGGTTCGACTGCTGATTGCCTTGCGGTCACTGTGTTTTAATCAAATTCCATTAACATAAATTTTTCCATTTTGATTTTGATCGATGGCAAACGTGAAAGTCAAACTGTTGCAAGAATTAAAGAACGGAGGATAGTATGTATATATATATATATATATATATATATATATATATATATATATATATATATATATATATATATATATATATATATATATATATGTCCGCGCGTTTGTGTAATACATGAAGTTACATCTTTTTATACTTCATTTACAAGTTCATGTGCACGAGTTACATATTTTTATGAGTGAGTTACATTTGTGCTTGTTTCAACAAGTTACATTTTACATACATTTAAGTTACATATCCCATCAACACATGTTACATTTGTCATTACATGAGTTACATCAAAACATATTCACGGTATTGAAACAAAAAAATGATTTTTTTTAAATCCTTTTGATGTTCATGATATTAAAAACAAAACATATTCACGATTTACGTAAAGTAATTGTGCAGTTAGACCTTTTTTACTCCCTCTGTCTCAGAAAATTCTCCCCACTTTGACTTGACACGAAGATTAAGAAAGTGGAATAAAGTGGAAATGTGTGGTTGTAATTGTGTAAGAAAAAGGTGAAATGAATGTGAACCACACAAATTGTCCAAAAATGGTAGGTGGGAAGAATTTTTTGGGACGACTCAAAAAGGAAAGTGGGAAGAATTTTTATGGGACGGAGGGAGTAATTGTTTACATTGAAATTAATGTATTGTTTCTTATATTATGTATTTGACAAGTTACATGTCAACTCGACTTGAGTTACATTGATCAATAACGTGAGTTACATTATTTTACATGCAAGTTACATCCTTCATGCTACTGAAAAAAACCATTGTACTCGTGTTATTGTTCACATGTTACTGTTCATGCGAAATTTTAAAAAAATTGTGCAAAACTACGTCATTTTGGACGTGGAGCACGATGCTCACCGTGAGATGATCCCACGATATACGAACCGTCCTTAACCATGTTTTTCACAAAGTAGATTCCTTTTTCAAGATTTTGACTTTTAAATTATCGCCACATTGTTTCTTGAATAATCCAAAACCTTATAAACGAGACTTCACAAATACTCCGTATATTCAAATAATTTGATATTGTGGGTCATAGAACACTTGTTACCTTTAGTTACATAACAAATCTTCTAATAATTTGTATTTATATTTTTTATTTAGGATTGTCAAAAGTTGATTTACAGTCGTGCACACTTTTTTTTAATACGAACAATCGTGCACACTTATTAATTCTAGTTATATTGTTAATGATGTTTTGTTACGGAGTATAATATACTGAAGTACAAAAATTGGAAGTATATAGGACCAGGCACATGGTCCATACCCTTGTGGACATCACCCTCGGTATGGCCCCTCGTCCAGTTAAGGCAACGCACTCCAGAATAGGGCCGTTAGCGAATCGAGCTTTTATCGAACTATTCGAGTTCGAGCTCGGTTTCGAGCCTAACGAACTGAGCTTAACGAATTTTCGAATTCGAATCCGAGCTGAGTTTTAAGTTCAAAAAACTAATCGAGCCGAGCTCGAACATAGTAGTATTCGGCTCGGTTCAAACTCGAACCTATCGAACACCCTGAAATTATAAATATAATATATATATATATATATATATATATATATATATATTCAGATTTAGGATCATGTGAGAATTTGATCTTAGGAGAGAAAAAAGAATGATCTTGAGCCATTGGATTGAAGCATTATTGAGATTCATTAATTAATCCGTATGAGGGTAGATATGTAATTTTTAATTCTTTCCTTCTAAGACTAAATCCATACGTTGAACCATATGAGAGTATTATCTCCTAAATTTTAGTATTTCTTCCCTTATCTATATGCTATCCTATCTTCTGCATCTCTCTCATTCACGTTTCTCAATCACCATCAACAACCTCCTTTAGTCATCATCACCAATCTCAATTCTTATCTTCACCTTATTCTTTATCTTCTTCCTACAAACTCTCTTCCTCTCATGTTTCTATTTTTTCTTATGTTGTTGAAGAGTGTGAATATCCTCTCCGAAGCATATAATCTCTTATCCTCCACACGGGTCATGATAAGAAATTAATTAGAATTTCAGAATTTAGATTGTGATTTTAATTTTAAAATATATTTTTGTCCGGCCTCATGGGTCAAGTTCTTCTTTAATCTAATTTTCTTATGGTCCAAGCTTTTATTTATAATTTATTTGATCTCAGCAGAATTTATTGTTTGTCAATGGTACATGCACCGTTGTTTTAATATTTATGGTAATTGGTTCTGAATTGACAATTTCAAAGATATTTTAATGTTGATTGTTGAATTCAATGCAACTATACATATTTTGTTTTGCACTTTTATATATTATTGTTCCATATCTTTAGATGTATGGGTTTGTACTAATATACTTTTAGATTTGTAGATTTGCGCTAACAATTTAATGAATTTACATTAGCGACATATGATGCATTTAACGTGTTTAATGTCGAAGAATTTTGTAATACTATATATTAACTTCTAATAAGATGATAATGATAAATTTTGTATTAAACTTTTGATGCACCTATCATATTTTGTTCATGCACTTTTTCATTGGTTTTATTTTACTTTGTTGTGCAGATCAAAATGACATCAAGAGACACTTCCATAACGGAAATTATGATGCTTTTAGAAGAAAAGTGCATTTCATTTTGTATAGTGTCAACTTTTGTAAAATTTAAATGCAAAGTGAAATATTCTAGCTCACTTTTGTATATATTTAAATGCGCATAATAAAAGTGCATTTTAATTTGTAAAAAGATACTAGTGTAAAAGTTTAGAAAGTGTGATGTAATAGTGAACGCTTGTATTATTCTAAATGCACGTTATAGTTGATAGTTTACACCCTTGTATATTTACATTCGTTTTTATTTCAGAAATGTATGAATGTCCACATGGTAAAAGTGCATTTGATTTTGTATAAGATGTCAATGTAAAATTACAGAAAGTTTGTTATAAAATGCACTTTTGTATATATTTCAAATGCACATGATTGAAGTGCATTTCATTTTGTAATAAGAGCATATGTAGAATTTTAGAAAGTGTGATGTAATGTCGCACTTTTGTATTCATTCGAGTGTAATTAAAAGCATTTAATTAAAGTGCGGCTATTCTTTACTGGAGTGCAAATTTGTACGCAGAGCTTTGAATAAAAAACATTTATTCAAAATTGTAATGCAAAAATTTTGAAAAAATACGTGAATAATGCAGTAACAATAGATTTTTTTTTTTTTTTGCAACAAGTAACAATAGATTTATGAAAAGTAATTTAGTTATCAAATTGAAATTCTATAAAAAGAAATTTGAGAGAGAGTAATTGAACTGTTTTCCTAATTATGAGGACACTTCCAACTAAAAAATCAAAGTGCCTAAGTGATATTTAAAAAAAATGCTTCATAATTAATAGGCCTATCTTTTAGGAAAGCTAAGAGCTTACCGATGGAAAATGTTAAAACAGATGAGATTTTTAAGGAAACGGATGTACACGGCCAATTCTATCATAATACTAAAGGGTAAAGCTGTAAAATTATTTTACACCTTTACCCTTTAATAATAATTGCGTTGCTTTTATCATTATAATTGTCCTTCATACTTCCACATAATTACTACTTGCCATCATCATTCTGATCAAATCTTAATCATCCATTAACTAAATTAGATGGTTAGATTTTATTCTTTTTTCTCTCCTGGAAGCTCTTTCTCACCGGAACCATTCCCTATATATATATATATATATATATATATATATATATATATATATATATATATATATATATATATATATATATATATATATATATATATATATATATATATATATATATATATATATATATATATATATATATATATATATATATATATATATATATATAGGGAATGGTTATTAAATATGATTATTAACGAACCGAACACTTGTTGAATCATTCGAGCATGAACCTACTAACGAGCATCACGTAAAATTTTAAATTCAAGCATATTTATCGAACTTATCGAGCGCTCGATAAATATGATTATTAACGAACCGAACACTTGTTGAATCATTCGAGCATGAACCTACTAACGAGCATCACGTAAAATTTTAAATTCAAGCATATTTATCGAACTTATCGAGCGCTCGGTTCGAACATCGAACGCCTATCGAGCCGAACACGAGCCTCATTTGTAAAGCTCGTCGAGCTTCGAGCTCGAACCCGAACGCCACTAATTCCTTATCGAGCCGAACTCGAGCTTTGGGTGTTCGGACCTTGCTAGGCTCGTTAAGAGCCCTACTCCAGAAGGTCGGCTTGATAAAATAGATTGCATAACTTTCTGTATAGATCCCTTGACCTGGATGCATTGGCCTCAAGCCCCTCGGCCGGGCTGAGACTTCACCAAATAACAGTGAAGAAATCAATATGATCCTCCATCTGTGATGACCACGAGGGGCACTAGGCACCTCGTCTGTGTCACATCAATGTCCTCTAACGC